CCCCGCGACGTTCCAAGAAGCAGTGATGATCGCCGACCTATACGACACCAATCAAAAATATGCGAGATCGGGTTCCCAGGAGGGAAATCGTTTTCGTGGCCAGGATCAACGGCCCTCGATCAATGGCATCGTGTTGAATGACAAAGATTGCAGGAAGCGACCGTGTTTTCACTGCCACCAACCGAGTCACCGATATGCTGACTGCCCTGACCGGAAGTAGAGGAAAAACAACGATGGGGATAAGCCGAGAAACGACTCCTGTCAGTAGCAAACGGGCCCCCTACTGACACGGCTGCATCGCCCGAGAAATAGCATCTCCAACGGGTGGTGGTACCGGTACATGCTATCGACCGCTCTCGGACGAATAACGGGGATGAACCTGTGGATTACCCTGTGCTGGTAGAAGGAAAGGTTAACGGAAAAACGGTGAAAATCTTCATCGATGGCGGTGCGAACCTCAGCTTGATTCACCGACCAACGGCGAAAAAAATAAACTTACCCGTGGAGCGGTGTCTGCCCGAGAAGGATGCCCGATTGGTTGACAGCACCTCGCTAACGATACGCGATCACGTGCGAACAATTTGCATGAAGTGTGGTGACAATTTCGGTTACAGCGCGCCGATGCTGGCGACGACACTTGACAGCTACGATGTGTTGCTAGGATGAGATTGGCTTCGGCGACACAACCCGCAGATCGATAGGACGACAGGTGAGTGCACAGTCAAGTGTGCGAATGGTCGGCAGATACTGCCAAAATGGCGAGGAGCAGAGCCGATAACGACACGCGTCAACGCCATTACGCTGACACGCGTGGTCAAGAAAGGCGCGGAATTGTACGCCGTCCATCTGAAGGAATCAACGGACGACGATCAACCGGCCGACATCGATAAGCTCTGCGCAGCGATCCCTGAAGACTTGACAAAACTAATTCGTCAGTTCCCATATATTTTTCCCGATGACCTACCACCTGGCCTACCACCAGAACGCCCTCAAGACCATCGAATCGAACTCGAACCTGGAGCGCAACCAACTCTCCGGACACAGTGGCGGCTGACGCAACCCGAGCTTCAGGAATTACGGGACCAATTGGACTACTTGTTGGCCAAGGGGTTTGTTCGACCGAGCACGTCCCCGTTCGCCGCCCCGATCATGTTCACACCCAAGAAAGATGGGGCCCTCCGAATGTGCATCGATTATCGCGCCCTGAATCGGGTTACGATAAAATCTCGCTACCCAATCCCGCGTGTAGACGAACTGATTGACCAGCTGCGAGGAGCTCGCTATTTCTCGAAGATCGACCTTCGCGGCAGTTACCACCAGATTCGAGTCTTCACTAATGATTGCCACAAGACCTCGTTTCGTACTCGCTATGGGAGTTACGAATACACGGTCATGCCATTCAGGTTAACGAATGCCCCTCGACATTCCAGCTGACGATGAACGGGGCATTCCAGGATCTACTCGATAAATGTGTCAACATTTATCTTGAGGATATCCTGATTTACAACACGATATGGGAGTAGCACTTAAAGGATCTGGAAGCGGGTTTTCAGCGCTGCATCAGAATCGTCTCATCACCAAAGGCTCTAAGTGCGATTTTTTAAAAACCTGAACTTGAGTTTTTGGGGCACGTTATTTCGACGGAAGGCGTGAAAAATGACCCCCACAAACTTCGGGTACTTCTAGAATGGAAGCCGCCGACCAACCTCCAGGAGCTGCAATTGTTTTTGGGGTTCGTCAATTATGTGCGTCGTTTTATCCCCAACATGGCAGGGTTAACTAGACCACTAACTGACCCACTGTACTTCATAAGGGCGCCGATTATCAGTGGGGGGAGAAGCAGCAAGATGCGTTTGATGGATTAAAAAATGTTTTAGTTTCACCACCGGTACTTCGGATTGCTGACCCAGAATGCCCATTCGAGGTCGTGACAGACGCAAGTGACATCGCAATTGGAGCGGTTATGCTACAGGATTTTGGCGACAACCTTCAGCCAATCGCGTACGAGTTGCAAATTACAATCGGCCGAAAGAAACCATCCCGTACATGACAAATAAATTATGGCGATCATGCACGCGTTCAAGATCTGGCGATGCTATCTGACGGGAGCCGACGTGACTGTACAAACAAACCACAAATCTCTACAGTACCTACGCGCGCAGCCGAATCTCAACCCGCGGCAAATTCGCTGGTTGGATTATCTGGACTCGAAATTCACGTTCCGAATCACGTACAAGAAGGGTGCTGATACACCCGAGCGACGTTGTTATGAATTAATTAGAGTAATAACAGGTAGTGTAATAAAGGAGTCGTGATTCTAGAGTGACGATACAAATGAGGGTCTAGGCATTTACAGTGACGGAATTTTTTGGCCTTGAAATTGTGGTCTTTGATGATAAAAGCGTGTTACGCTATTTATATTGTATGTTACTAGTACTCATGGGCCACACACATTCTGCCTTAGGGCGTTAGGGCTCAAACACAAATATGACTTATAAGTACTATCGAGATTACACAAACGTGTACACAATTTTAGGTAACTCACTCGATTCTGACAATTACCTCCCACCGAGAGCCTAGACCGAGTTCTTTCCTGCATTTCTCGCTCGAACTAGGCTTCGCACGTAGAGCTTCACGATACCCTTCCTGAAGTCTTCGCCAAGCTCCCTCCCACGATGCGCCCGATAAGAACGCGTATCAAGGACCGACTCTTGACCCTGCTTCATCAGGGTCATAGTTTTCGTCAGATTGCGAGCATGTTAGGGATATGGAAAACTACAGTTCATAAATATGCGGAACTGGCATCCCAGCGCACCAGCCGCCTAGCAGTACGACCAACGGTGCCTCGATCAGGCCGCCCTCGTTTGCTTTCGGTGCGTGACCGACGATGTCTTGTGCGTTCCGTGACTTCAGGGGCTGTCAAAACGAGTGTAGAGGCCGCAAAACAGTTAGAGTTAGTACAGGGCATTAAGGTCTGCCCGCGCACAGTACGAAATGCCCTGAAGCTGTCAGGGCTTGTCGCTGTACAGCAACCGATGAAGCCACGCCTTTCGGCGCGTAACATCCGAGATCGCTTGGAATTTGCGCGTGCACACCTAGACTGGACTATCGAGGACTGGAAGCGGGTGATCTGGTCGGATGAGACCAAGATCAACCGCTTTTGCAGCGATGGCCGCAGCTTCACTTGGATCCGCGATGGCGCGGCTCTTCAAGCGCATCAGGTGAAGCAGTGTGTGAAGCATGGGTGCGGGTCCATAATGATATGGGGATGTATGACCTATGATGGCCCCGGTTTTATGTGTAAGATCGAAGGGCGCATGGATGGGCAGCTGTACCGTGCGATCTTGCAGGATGAGCTTGCTCTGACAATTGATTTTTTACTCTCTAACCGCCAGTGATGTTATTTTCCAGGAAGATAACGACCCTAAGCACAAGAGTAGGCTTGTGCAAGAGTTCCTTTCTGAGCAGGAATACTCAGTCGTGCAGTGGCCTTCATCCTCCCCAGACCTAAATCCCATCGAACACCTATGGTGTCACCTCAAACGTGAGCTCGCCAAGTATGAGCACCCCCCTTCAGGCATGCTCCAAACTTGGGAGCGAGTGCAGGCGACGTGGGAGAGTATTGGAGCAGAAGTTTGTAGGGGATTGATAGATAGTATGCCTAGGAGGATGAAGGCTGTTGTTAGGGCAAAGGGTAGATGGACTAGGTACTGATTATGGACAATGTTATGTCTTGTTTGAAATGGGAACTATTTGTCCTAATGTACATCCATGTACCTAATGCTATGAACTTAGGCATAACAAAACCTAATAAGGCTAGTGTTGGCATTTTACGTGTGCTGTTGCCTTTGTCTACCAGGCCATTAAAGCCTGTCACATTATTAACTTCCCAATAATCAGCAACTGACAATTTTCCACAAAATTGCCAAACATGCGGACAATTTCTTCCGTCACTGTATAGGCACGAACAGGGCAAGCCGAGAACCACGCGAACAGGTTGGGGCGGTCCGGTTGGCAAAAGCTACGGAAGCGCCACGCGTCTAGGTTTGGGTTCGCAAAGTGGTTCGGGACAGTAGAAGTTGGCCGAGCCTGGACTTCCGAGAGTCGAGGTTGTATGTGCTGTAGTCGAGCCTAGTAAGGCAAAAGGGATTTCCTTACACCACCCCCCTTTCCGGGACGAGACTGCCCACTTTCGGAACACGTCGCTGGTGTAAATTGTCTCGAACAACTCACTGTTCGCCGAGTGTAGCTGCGGGAACCCAGAGGTCTTCGTCACTCGTGCGATCGACCCATCGTACAAGGAAGTCAACAGCTGTTGTATTGCGATGTCCTCGTACGCGATGAGCGAGAATCTTGGACAACTCTGTCGTGGGCTCGGGTACGGGTTTGACCGTATGATTGATGTGTCGATTGATGGTCGAGATTGGTCGCACTCGGGATGAACGGTCGCAGGAGGCTGACGTGGAACGAATCATGAATTCGCCAGTCGGCCGGCTGTTGCAGCTGGGCAGTGACTGGTGTCACCATTCGAATAATGCGGAATGGTCCGCAGAATCTTGGTCGTAATTTATTTGGGAGGGGATGTCCCAAATTCTTGGTGTCGAGCAAGACCATAGAAGTTGGCCGTGCCCGGAATTCTGAGAGTCAAGGGCGTACGCGTTGTAGTCGAGCCCAGTAAGGAAAAAGGAATTTCCTTATATACGTAATGTGATATGACAAGTTATATCACGTTTTCCTTACAGTGTGCTTCTAAAGGCTCAAATATGTACAGTAACCAGCCCAAGCCGTCCCCAGTGCCGGCGGTGTCAGCAGATGGCATCAACATCTGGATTCACTATTTCCCGCCTCCCTCCCCACACGTCGCTCCGCCATTCGCCCCCTCGTTCCCGAAATCCCCCCAGCCACCCGCGGCAAAGCACTGCCATTCCTGCCGCTCTGCTGTGGCCTGGATCACATTTCGAGTCGAGAGAGTCAAGACGGAAGTTAGTGAGAGACGGACTGCCTGCTCGCTGTGTTGCACTGCGGGCATTTACGTGTAGTGTTCGCCGCTCCTAGTCAGGACTCAGGATCGCTTCTCGGTGCTACTTAGGATAAGCGCCTGGCAATTGCGCGTACAGTATTTATAATCCAGCATTCCTCTTCTCTGTCACGCTCGCCTTTTAGTCTAGCTGCAGACTCTTCCTTTGACCAAACGGCCCACCCAGCTCCCTGCGACGTGACAGCGCTTGCTGACTAGTAGTCGATTCAGGCCCAGGGTACCGTGGTCCCCGTAAACGACGCTTTAGCAGTCCGTTTCAGTGGTCCGTATCAGTCAATTTGCTCCCCCATATCCTCAGCTTTTTTTCCTCGTCGTTCCTCAGCGCAGCGGCGATACTACTACTTCAGGTCATGTATTCCACTACTAGTGCTGGTACCATTACTAGTAATACGACCGAGGAGGGCGATGGCGGTGCCGTGACAACGACTCATCCAGGCGCCTTTGACAGCTTCCCCGACGATCTCCTCATCAGCGTGTTTCGCCGCCTTGTTCCGGAATCGCCGCCGCTTCTTCGGCTGTGTCCCGTGGTGCCGCCCAGCAGCAGCCTCCTATCACCACCTGACGTCTCCCCTCTCTCCCTCTCCCCCTCCCCCTCCTCATCCTCCTCCCACGCGTTCGTCTGTAAGCGCTGGCTCCAACTCGCCTATCTCGCGCACACATCTATCCACGTCACGCAGCATACTCGGGAGATCTCCGCGTCGCAGCTCATCCGAGCCGTCAATCGCATGCCGAGCCTCAATTCCCTTCAGATCGACTTTCTCGGTAACGATCCCGTAACGGACGCCCTTATAACGGAGATCGCGAACGCGTGCCCTCGTCTCGAGCTGCTCTCTCTCTCCTCCTCGCGCCTCCGTCACGCATGGACGACCCAAGGGTTAGAAACTCTCTTCCGCGTCTGTACGCGTTTAAAGCAGCTCTCGCTTCACTGCCCACCGGCCGTCAAAACGTTTCCCGCCGCCGTCTCCAACCTAACCGGTCTCGTGCGCCTCAACATCTGCTTGGGAAAATTCGTGAGCCGCCTGCCTGAAGAGCTCGGCGCGCTTGGCGCTCTGGAATCCTTCTGCTTGGAGGCACCTCTTGTCGCATCGCTGCCCAGCAGCCTGGGAGACCTCACGAATCTGCGGGAGCTGGAGCTGGTGAGCTGCAGGGCTTTGTCATCGGTGCCTGAGACCATAGGGAAGCTGCTGAAGCTATCGGCTTTCCATGCCATGCATTGCGACAGCCTCCGCTCGCTCCCTGACGCCCTCTGCCAGTGCTCTTCCCTGGACACTCTCCATCTCTCACTCTTCAACCTTGCCGGGCTGCCCGAGAATATCGGGCAGCTGCCAAGCCTCCGCTGCCTCGTCTTGCACTCCTCATACGGTCTCCATGCACTTCCTACGTCTTTCACGCAGCTACCCTCCCTCCGGAATTTGCGTCTGACTGTGCGTGCACGGCGGTTGCCGGACGACTTGGGGAATCTGACCAGTCTGCAAAGTCTGGAGCTCTCCGATTGCTCGGAACTCACTCACCTGCCCTCCTCTCTGCCACAGCTCTCTCTTCTCGAAAGCCTTGCAATCTCTCGCTGCGGTCAACTTTTTCATCTGCCCGAGGACATGGGGCAGCTGTCTGCGCTTCAAGAGCTGGATCTGAGCCATCTGAAAAATCTCCAAGACCTTCCCAATGAAATCGGGCAACTGCAGCGTCTTTACTCACTCAGGCTTCACTGCTGCGATTCCCTCAGCGAACTGCCGGAGTCTTTCTCTCAGCTTACAGCCCTCAAGACACTCACAATCAACTGTTGCGATCTGCTCTCCTCCCTCCCTCAAGGCATCGACAATCTGACGTGCCTTCAAGAGCTGACTCTCAGCGAGTGCCCTTCAATCAATCAGCTACCTGCCAGCATCTCTCGCTGCCTTTCCCTTCACCGCATCTCCATCCGAAACTGTTCTCGCCTCACAAATGTACCTGAGGAAATTCGGCACCTGGTTGGTTGAACACGGAATTACAGGCGGAGCGGGTGAGGGGCATATTCCGAGAAAGTGGTGCAAGCTGAAGGAGGAGGTGGTGCAAGCAACGTTCAGGGGCGGTGCAGACAGGGGATAAGGTGGTGGGGAAGGCAGACCTGCTTGCAGGGATGGGTGCAGATGTGAAGCTGAGCTTCCTTCTACGCTGTCTGTAATTGGCTGGCGATGGCGTCTGCCTTGCTTTATCTTGCTGCATCAAGTGTGCTGGACAAAGCAACAGCAGCAACAATTGCACTACGGTACTTCTAGACAGACAGTTGTACCGCATTTGCTGCAGAATTGTAGTGCTGCTGTACCTTTGCGTAATTAAATTTATGTATGAACCATGTGTATAAGGCATTTTAGTACCATGGTTTTCTGTAGTTCTGGTTGGCGTTGATGCTAGTTTGCATAGCAGAATCAAAACCAGATATTTCAATACTTGGGATGAGTGTGTGGTACTTCCCGCGGCTCCGGAGCAAACTCTAGCGCGTACATCTCACCATTCGTGCCTGCCTCTCTTGAACTTGAGCTTGCTTTCTCCCCCGCCTCGTTGGCAACATCGAGGTCGGATTGAGGGTGCGGAGCATGAGTTGCGTAACCTCCTTGGTTACCTATTTCGTGAAACTCGTCTAGAAGTTCGCGAGCCTGATGTTGCAGCTTCGGAGTGCCTGATTTTCGCCAAAAGCGCAACCCCGGTCACCCGTCCTTGTTTGCGCAACTCATGATCCACGCCCTCAGCTTTGGTCTTCCCTTCAGCTCTATCCCTGTTGGCCTTCCCACTATTTTCCATCGTTCCTTCTTCCTTCTTCCCCGCTTCCCTTTTCCTAACTCTCACCCTCACGCCTCTCCCTATGTTCCTTCTTTTTTCGAGTCCGTACGCCTCCCAATCCTTCTAGTCCGTCACTCCAAGTCGCGAGTAGTCCGCCGTGGGTGGCGGAACCACTCCAACGAGCGGAAGCTCGGTCAGGCGTCAGTTTTTCCGTACAAGCTCCGTTCTAGGCTGTTGATATCCTGGGCTAGTAGGCTCTGGTCTGGGGGGCTGCTGCAAAACTTTCCTTGGCGCATTGAAGTGACCATGCGAGCAGGCAGCTAGCAGCTCGATGACCAATCGAAACAGAATGAAATCTAGCGGCGCCAAATGACGGACTTGTGACACTGCGACGCAGAGAATGACGAGCAGCAGGAGGTAGAAATTGCAGGCAATGGCAGCCAATGGAGTTGACCGACTGACTTACCAAGCTAATGCCTTTTACCTTACTGAGGTGGATGTTCGCGAATCATTCGCAACACCAAGCTAGCTTTCGCATCTCCCCATGCATGCGCCCTTGTCAGTCGCCCTCCTAACGCCGCCACGGCAGGGCCTCCAATTCACCTCGCCTCGAGGTTTCCGCCACAGCTTACAGCACGTAACTGTACGTTTCGGTACGGTACAGTACGGTACAGCGTAGTAAACTGCCAACTTCGGCACCGCGATGGCCTTCCAGGTTGACGTTGAGGATTTGTTCTGTAAAAAAATAACATATAGTACACATTCCTCTCCTGCAGTCGCTCTACTAGCCTACCACCACCACAACACCTCCTAATACTACTCCGCGGGAACTTCCCACAAGCTTCTCTACTCCTGCTTACGCCTCAGGCTGCATCGAGCCATCGAGCTGTTAACACATAGTCCCTGCCGGCCCATTCGTCCATCAATCCGCTTGAGCCTTCCGGACGTCTCTGAACGAGGGGAGGGAGTATCTGAACGAGGGGAGGGAGTATCTGAACAAGGGAAAGGAGTCCCGCAACGAGCGAATGGCCTTGGCCCCCGAGATAGCAGTACCGAGCAGCGTACCTTCGGAGGCGGATCCATTCGACCGTCTCACCGACGACCTCGTTATCGCAATACTGCGCTGCGCCGTTCGGCTGCTACCCAACCCGCCCGAGCCCTGCTGCTATGTAAAACTCGTTCCGCACTCAATGGCGTCGCTCCCACGCAACGACGTCGCTCCGTTCTCCCACGCGCTTGTATCCCAGCGTTGGCGACGCCTCGCAAGTGCCGCACACTCGTCCCTCCACCTGACCGATGAGCGTCGCCTCGTGCGACTCGAAGGTGCTAGTAGCGGGCGAATCTCCTCGTCACAGCTTATTCGCGTGGTCCATCGCATGCCGAGCCTCACGCAGCTCGAGATCGACAGCAAGTTTCTGGATGCCATGTCGGACGATGTGCTTGCGGACCTCGCAAACGCATGTCCGGGTCTTCGACGCTTAGATCTTCGGAGCGTGGACTATCAGTGCACGGAGCGAGGATTTCAATCATTATCCCAAGCCTGTCCCCGTTTGGAAGAGGTATCATGCAACAATACCCCCACGATTCCACCAACCATTGCTCGGTTCACTGGACTCGTCCGGCTCGTCTTAGGGTCAAATTTGCTGACACACCTACCTGATGAGATCGGCATGCTGCGTAACCTCAGGCGGTTCTGCCTGCAAGCATTTAACCTCACATCGGCGCTGCCGGATACTCTACGCAACCTGAGCAATTTAGAGGAGCTCTACCTGGTGTGTGTCGGGTGTCCCTCACTGCCAAAAACCATTGGCAAGCTGGCAAAGCTTTCCATTTTCCAGTTTACTAGCACTGGCAGCGTTAGTGTGCTGCCTGACAGCCTGTGCTACTGCACCCGCTTGACTTGCGTTATACTTCGAGGAGTGGTGACCGGCAGCATTGGTTTGTCTGGACGCTCCTATGGGATTGGCTTATCCTGAAAATCTGCCAACGACTGCATGCCACTCGGTGCTATATTGTGAGTCAGTGGGGCTAATAGCACCCTCGCATGATTGCATGTAAGAGAAAGATGGCAGAAGCACACCCTCACGAGAATTATGAACATTGCCAGGGTGAATACAAGCACTGCACAATGGGGAAGAGAGAGGGGGAGGGGCACAGGATTGGAGGTTTGGCATGCTGCAGTGTGGATGGGCACAAGAAAATGTGTGTGTAGATAGCGTTGCCAAGAGAATGTGGCGGCACATGTGGCCCGAGGTGGGATGGCATGTGCATTCACGGAAGTGTTGAGGTTAGGAAGGATGTGGAAAGGGAAAGATTGCTGGGGCGGTGGTGATGAGGGAAGAGGGGGATCATGAGGGTATGCTTCTGAAGAAGCGCTATGAGAAAGGGGAGGGGGAGGCAGAAAGGAGGGTGCAGCTGTGGTAAAGAAGGAAAAGAGGGAGATATAGATATAGAGTGCGTGAGTGTGCATGTGTGAGAAAGGACCGGAGGGAGGGAGTCAGAGAGAGAGAGAGAGAGAGAGAGAGAGAGAGAGAGAGAGAGAGAGAGAGAGAGAGAGAGAGAGAGAGGGAGAGAGAGAGAGAGAGAGAGAGAGAGAGAGAGAGAGAGAGAGAGAGAGAGAGAGAGAGAGAGAAAGAGGGAGAGAGAGAGAGAGAGAGAGAGAGAGAGAGAGAGAGAGAGAAAGAGGGAGAGAGAGAGAGAGTGAGAGAGAGAGAGTGTGTGTGTGTGAGAGAGAGAGAGAGAGGGAGGGAGGGAGGTAGGGGAGGATGTTGAATGAAAGTACATCGTTCACTAACTGCTATGCATGTCTATGCTATCCCTGTCTTGCAGCCGCTCCTTACTCATCCCAATCCCCGAGTCTCTTTGCTGCTACTCTCACCGCAGTTCCACCATCTCTCATCGTGCATGGCATCCTCCCACTCTCTCAACCAGTGACTCTCATCAACCTGCCAGCCATCTGGAGAGAAGGCGCGTGAGATGAGTGAGAGGACAGGCAGATTCTCTTGGCCATCGAGTGATTTTTCCTAGCATGCGAGAAGAGCACAAGGGGTAAGCTTCTGGACATGAAAAGCATGCACTGCGAGGAAGAGGAGACGTGGGTAGACGAGGGGAGGGGAGGATTGGAGAGAATGAGAGGAAATGAGAAGGGAATAGGTGCGGTAAGAGTTGTGAGCAGCTAATAGGGGAGGAAGGAAGGGGAGAGAAGGGGAGATGGGAGTAGATGGCGGGCAGCATATGGGTGGGGAATGCCACGGAGGACAGGGAAGGGGAGCCGAGAAGAGAATAGAGGGGAGGAGAGGAGAGGGGAGAAATGAAGAAAGGGGAGGAGATAGGAGAACAGGAACGGATAGAGCAAGTGTTGACAGGAGAGCAACAGTGCAGAGGAAAGGACCAGAGAACGAAATGGAATATGACGAAGTGAGGGGGGGGAGGGGGGGGGGGGGGGGGGGAGTTAGAGGAGATAGGACATCAGAAAGAAGTGATATTTTATGACAAGAGGCAAGTGGAGAGAATAGAAGGGGAGGGAGAGCAGCTAGGGTGGAAATAGGTAGGGGAGAATGTGCAGATGCATGGACATGGATGGGTAAGGGCGCGAATACTCTTGTGGTGATGTCACTCTGGTTGACGAGGCCTTGCAAAGGGCATGGACCAAGCCTGCCCTCATGCCCTCGTGCCCTTATGCCCTTGTGCCCGCATGCCCTCATGCCCTTATGCCCTTGTGCCCGCATGCCCTCATGCCCTCTTGCACTCATGCCCTCATGCCCTCATGTCTTCATGCCCTCATGCCCTCTTGCTCTCATGCATTCATGCCCTCATGCCCTCATACTCTTATGCTCACAATCCACAGATGCTGGAATGAAGCCTCGCTCACAGCGATTGGACGGCTGGCCCGGCATGCACAGCAAGGGAATAGAAAGGGGGAGGGGCGCGAGATGGCAGGTTTGGCGTGCATCAAGTGGATTGGTATAAAGGAATGTATGGATGGCATCGACATGAGGGTGTGGCGGCAGGTGGCTTGTGAGAGGATCATGTATCAGAATAATTGAATAATGGTAAAGATGAGAGTACACACAAATATACCTAAGTGTTGTACCCTCTAAGCGATAACCCTATACAGTCTATACAAACATAACAAATACAGATGTTTGACACACCCCCTAGACTGCATAGGGGAATACCCTAAACAAGCAGCTCAAGGCGACACTACTAGTCCAACCTCTGAGACAAGGGTCTGAGAGACCAGTCAGAAGGAGTACAGACAAGGCAAGAACAAGAGCAGGGCGGCACTACTAGTCCAGCCACTGGGAGAGGACACAAGTCCAGTCTGAGTATACATATAAAGGACAGTACAAGTCAAGGTCCTAGCAAGTGAGAAGCAACAGGAACTAGACCAAGCTGTACACAGTGCCGCTGATGATCTTTAGGCGCAAGCGCCTTCGTAAAGATATCAGCTGTGTTGGCACCTGAGGCCAAGTGTACTACGCGAGCCTGACGTCGCTGCTGTAGCTCACGCAGGAGGAAGTACCGCAACTGAATGTGCTTCGCTCTGCCCTCGAGTCGAGGCTCCTGACACAGGAGGATCATGGCCCTGTTGTCAGCGAACAGGACCGGGGCAGAGCTCGGCCGCTCACCTAAGTCAGTGAGCAAGAAGGTCAGCCAGCGGAGCTCCTGTGCCGCCATGGCACCAGCATAGATCTCAGCCTCACAGCTGGACTGCGCAACAGACGAGGAGCGAGTAGCTCTCCACGAGACGGCACCTGAGCTAAGGCTGAAGCAGTAGCCCTGGGTAGACCTGAGTGTCTCAGCGTCGTCTGCCCACGAAGCGTCTGTGTGTCCAGTAAGGACCACTGGCCTGCGTCCTCCAAGCACTAACCCCATGCCCGATGTACTAGCAAGATAACGCAGAACCCTCTTAGCGGCAGACCAGTGCTGCGGTCGGTGTCTGCCTGTGGCCACAAAGCGCGCCAGGATGCTGAGAGGGTATGCGAGATCTGGGCGAGTGCAAGTCATCAGGTACATGAGGCAACCCACCAGCTCTGCGTAGGGGCCGCTGGGCTCTACCAACTCCTCAGGTACTGGAGCGGAGAGTCTGTGGTCTACAGGCAGAGGGGTGGGCTGTGCAGAGGAGAACTGAAGGCTGAACCTCTGAAGGACCTGGCGCACCAAGTGTGACTGAGTCAGGGTGATGGTGCGCGCAGCTCTGTCCCTGGAGATCTGCAAGCCAAGGTAACGGCGCAGTTCTCCAAGGTCAGTGCAGGTGTGTCTCTTCAGCAGCTCTGCCTTCACGGAGGCCAGTGCGTCCCTGTCTGCCGTGGCAAAGACCAGGTCGTCGACGTAAACAAGGATGTAGAACGGAGTCTGGCCAGCACGAACGAAGAGTGAAGGGTCTGCGGAAGACGGAAAGAACTGCAGGTCAGCAAGGGTAGCACGGAGAGTGTCGTGCCACTCACGGGGAGCCTGGCGCAGGCCGTAGACAGGGCGCCGCAGGAGCCGCTGGGTCCCAGGAGGGAAGGTGCCAGTAAAGCCCGGAGGGCGACGCAGGTAGACCTGCTCGTGTAGGCTGCCCTGAAGGAAGGCAGTGGAGAAGTCGAGGGAGTGAAGCTCGTAGTCACGCTGAGCAGCTAGGTGTAACAGAACCCGAAGAGTAGTCATCTTCGGGGTCGGAGCGAAAGTCTGGAAGAAGTCCACCCCCTCGCGCTGACTGAAGCCTCTAGCCACATAGCGCGCCTTGAAGACAGGCGGCTCTCCAGGAGGGCGCTTCACCTTGAAGAGCCAGCGGCCATCGACTACGTTCACCCCAGGTGGGGGAACTGCGTCGACGAAGGTGCCGGTGGATCTCCAAGATGCCATCTCCTGCTCCATGGCAGCTATCCACTGCGAGGCCCAGGGTCCCGAAGTCGCCTCAGCGTAAGTGCGAGGGGTCGGGATGTCGAAAGCGTCTGGGTCACCCTCAGGGACTAGCAGCATGGAACAGAGATGGGGAGCAGCCTCGGACAGGAAAGCAAGCTCGAACTGGCGGTCCTCCAGGACGTCACTGCCAAGGGCAGGAGCACCCCCGACAGACGGAGGACAGGCAGGGTCACAGACCAGAGCTGTGGCGTAGTCAAGGCGGCGGAGAGAGGCGAAGTCAGCGACAGCAGCGACAAGAGCGTCAAGGCACGAGACCTGAACAGACGGGTCGGTAACGAGAGAGGCAAGGACCCGAGGAACGAGAGGACGAGCGGCACGAAGGTAGTCGGACAGCGGGGGGGGCGCAACAACAAGGGAGGACGGAGGAGGCGACGGGAGAAGGGGAGGACGAGACGCGTGGGAACGAAGCAACATAGGGTGGGAGCGCAAGATAGGCGAGGCAGGACGAGCACGGGAGGGGCGGTGAGACCAGACGTGCGACGGAGGAGTCGGGTCAGGAGACAGGGGAGGGGACACAGGAGGGGAACGAGGGGGGAGACGAGCCGGGGACGAGTCCGGCGGAGGAAAAACAGGGCCGTAGACAGGAAGAGGAGGAGACGGTCGGGGAGGAACCGACGCAGGGTCGGGGGACGGAAGGCCGAGCAGGCGAAGGGCGGACACCGGCGGGGACTGCTGCTGCGGCGGCACAACGGCGACACCTGGACCGCAAGCTGCTCCTCGGCTACCACCGGCATTCTCCACACCAGCACCCCCAGAGGGACCACCCCCAGGGCTACCGGGACGAGCACTCCCAGAGTCAGCGAACGGGTGCTGTGACGGCGGCGGCGGCGGCGGCGGTGGCGGCAGAGGCGGTGGAGGAGGGGACTGGGGAGGGGACGCCAGGGGAGGGGCGGCCGGCGAGGACTGAACAGGAGGGCCACCAGAGTCAGAAGACTCCTCAACCGGGTCCACCGACAAAAGGGGGGTAACGTGGGACACACCAGAGGGGGCAGGACGGGGAGGAGGAGGGGGGGGGCAGGGACTACCGGGGAAGGGGTGACCAGGAACAGGGGGGGGGTAACCGGGGGACCACGGTGGGGAAAGCGGCGGTAGTAGGAGACGGACTCGTCAAAGGTGACGTCACGAGAGTGAAAGAAGCGGTGAGACGGCGGGTGGTAAAAGTGCCAGTCGGACGCGTCAAGGGGAAAACCGAGGAAGACGCAGGGAAGGGTGCGGGCAGTGAGCTTGTCCGTGCCAGAGGCACGGACGTGAGCAAGGCAGCCCCAGACGTGGAACGCAGACGCGTCACCAGGAGACCCAGTCCAAAGACGGGTCAGTGAAACCTGCGGCTGCTGAGGGTGCGGCCACAGGTTAAGCTGGTGAGAAGCGTAGCGCACATCGAACGGCCACAGAAAATGGGGTGCACCGGCATGGATCATGGAGGTGCGAGCCACCTCCATGACCAAACCGATGCGTCGCTCAGCGACCCCATTCTGCTGTGGGGAGTCCGGTAGGGTGAACGTCTGGGTGATGCCCTCCGCACGACAAAAACGACCAAGGACACCGGAGGCAAACTCGCCACCGCGGTGTGAGTGAAGACGCAAGACAGGGAGACCGCGGTGGACTCGCGCAGAGACAAGCCAGGGGATGAGGGCGCCAGGCACGTCGGCCTTGCGCTCCAGTGGAAAGACTGCGGTGTAACGAGTGAAGTCGTCGACAAGCACAAGGAAGTAGCGCTCTCGACGCGGCCCAGGGACGGGGGCGGGGCCCCAGACGTCCAGGTGCAGGGTCTGCAGCGGCGCGGCGGTAGGGGGAAACGAGGAGGAGTGAGGGGCACGGCGAAGCCGACCCTCGACACAAGGCGTG